TCTGTTTTGGTACAAACCCCAAAATGTACTCGAAGGATCATCTTTTACCGGTTCATGAACCTTTCGTCCCCAACGGTAGGTTATGGCTTCATGCATAAATTAACGGGGTGGATTTTTCGTCCGTCAGTGTTGGCTGACCGAATAGAACTTTCCAGACCTTTCTGTCTCTGGCTTCCAGGCGGAACATGTTAGATGTGAAAGGAATACACAAGCAGCCTTAAACACTTGGTCGGTAAACTAAAGTTGTTGGAGGTTAGCAACGTCACAAGCAGAGTAAAATGCTTGAATGTAATTACGCAGCATATGCCTCGCCACTGTTCGAACACTGGTTGAGACAGTCGGCCCCGGTGTTGGAGGACCATCGTCCTCAAACTGGACGACGGTCTACACGAACGGACTGTGTCTCTCGTGCTCCCTATAGACCGCCAAATCAAATTGCTGGCACTGGTTTCTGCTGAGCCAATCACTTATTGCGGATTTTTATGTGATGGCGAACCTTGTCTGCTATGATGGAAGATTTGCAGATGCCCCCATCAGATGAGTGCACTCGTGGCTCTAAAACCATATATTTTCATTTTTTTCGTCCCATAAACGCAAATCTCAATCCGTCGGCCGACGTGTTTTAGACAGCGTGCTGAGTTGTGGAACCCTACCGATTTATGTAAGTATCTCCTAAGGCTGCTGCAAATAACCCAGTTTACGCGGCTTCACAACGGTTTGAGGTTGATGAGTTAGTGTGATTACCTGCACATATCTTCCAATTCATGTGCATAAATCGTGAGTCGAAACTGATTTCGTCTGGTTTCTAAATGTGTAGCTATCTGTCAGGCTCCTTTCAAGGCCAAACCGCGACCCAGACGCAACCTTGACATGGTAGCAATACCCTGTGTTTTGCGATGATTCTCCGAGCCATACTTGTGGGAATACATTCCGCAGAAGGGTTAGCGGAGAGCCAAAAGTCAATGCTGATGACACGTAACACGGGTGTCGATTGCGATGCAGATGCGCGCCTTCAGATATTTTACATTTCAATCTGATGTTCTGATGGAGCAGACTTGCCATCAACTACCCACGCACCTATCAAGTTGTCGCTACGACTGAAACCATGGTCACAAGTTTGAAAACACTTGGAATCCGTCTACTAATCAAGTCACAGCCATAAGAGGGAATCGTTATAAGGAATTCAATGTATATACCTTTCTTAACTTATTTGCGTCCAATAGTGCACATGGTTACTGAATGTGGACATGGTCACATCGTTGTAGACATCGACCTTTTATTCTTGACAGTGGTGCCAAGTACACAACTGGTAAGTAAGACGTTCCCACTTTTGCTGAAGATGTAGGATAAACTAAATCGGTTTTATATTTTTCATTTCAGAATCATCATAAATGGCAAGTTGTTTAACGGAAACGACCGGAGTGACTACTCAATACTTCTATACTGCTCTATCAGATAAATGAAGACAGTTTGCATACAGCCGTTTTGTACTTATCCGTCTCCAGCGCCTCAGAGGGATAACGCACACGGTTACGAAGATAAATGGTATTCGTTGACCATTGGGTTAAATTACTACCCAAAGAAGAGTCTTCACTTTCAAAGAGGATCACATGTACGGGCCAAGTTGCTACTGCGAGTAGCTACTAGTGGTTACTAAACACTAGGCTATGATGACAAAAAGTCACATTTTCTTATATTTTCCGGTTATTTTTGGTCCTTCCTGATGAAGTCAAGCCTAATGAAGTCAAGCTTATTGATTTCATTTTTTATGTGGAAAAGATCCTCCATAATAGTGCTTGCACTTTACACAGAGTGCTGGCGAAAGCTTCCTTACCTTCCGATTGGTTGCACATACTTGAGAGTGGTGCTCATTTAACATAAATGCATGGTTGCGTTAGTACTGCAGAATGAATTCAGTTAATTTGATGCTTAATCTAAACACTATGAGCATTCCATACAACACCGTCACACTTCTGTTAACTCACTCATCTTTTTCGTTACACGGTTTGCTCTGGTTCTGCTCAAACAAATGAGGGTTAATTATAACACCTTTCTAGAGGGTGGCGTTCAGTATTGGCACAGTGGAATTGAATTTTCGGAAGTTATGACGTGTCTCTGGTGGACTAAGGCAATCGGGCAATTAAGTCGAGAATACCAGTCCAAACTTTTAATCCCCATTTAGGCACCCCGGGGTCTCAGCGATGCTGGGAAAGTATTCCACAATAATTTTCATCCAGAGGCATGGTTGCTTCATTGAACAATGAAATTTAGTGAGCGCCAAAAATATGGGAGTAGATTAGAACGGTTTATGGTTTGGGCACATACGTAACGAAATACATCATTTTTGGCGTACAAAGTTTTACTCCGGTTGTGAACCTTTTGCAGCTGAGAGCGTTGTGTGCATAATCGGAGACCTAGAAGGTAGATTTCTGTCGCAGCATTCAGAAGATCCGTGTTTAATATGCCCCACCGACAGCCAGTCCGGTGGCCACATTCAATTGCAGGGATGACGCTGAATATCTTGCTTTCTGAAGAACAGTCTGATGCCTGCCTGGAAGAACAGACGCACAAGGGAAATCTTTTTCGGTTTGAAGTGCCATGGAATAGATAACAAAAATAAAAGTACCTAAAAGGAGCAAGAAGACAAAAGAGTACCCGCATTACCAAGTCCACAAACACAGTGAATTGCACTCTTCAGCAGATCATCGAGCGAAGGGGCGGCCACCGAAAAGCCACTGAAATAATCAAAATAATGATAATACAGGATGGAAATCATATCGAAACGGAAATAAGCACATCATCCCATCACTAAGCCGTTTGCGAGGCCGGCCAAACTTACGCACGAAGCAAAAAACTACTCACAGTTTGCGCAAAACTAACTGAGGATTTCGACAAACTCATGAGTAACTTCCTTCAAGAAAACAGTGCGACATCTTTAACATCGTACCAAGTGTAGCAGAAGATGGCCTTTGGTAGATGTATTCAGTTGAAGGATATCACAAGTGAGATGTTCGGCTTGTTTCCAGTGAGTATAGCCTTGAAAAATTGGGTTGGCGAATGAGTGGGTGTTAATGTCCTAATGTAGCCCAAAAGTTGGCTAAATGAACAGAAAGCGATGAGCACTCTTTTGTTAATATAGGGAACGAGGGATTGGTCGTACTGTAAGCACGATTTGATAATTTCTGCTGTTCGTCCGGACGCAAAATTCATGTTCCTTTCCCTATTGTGGAATCTGTATGTATATTCTGATTATTCGTGGGTTGCGTGTCGCCATTCCTGCGTGGTTAGACATCGAGTTGAATGACATGCGCAATGTTGCTGTTGTGTAAAGCCTGAGTTCGGTTTACGTTTTTGTGGATACGCCTGCTCTGTGTGCGCATGTTCGACTCATGCTAGATGGTACGGACAGTCAGGGTCAGCTGAGTCACGATTGGCGTGATCCGTGAGTGTATGGAGTCTGGGCGTGATGAATATGCAGTTTGCTGGTTACTGTTCAACAACCAAACATACACAGAAGTCGTGCGCATATCGGGGTGTACGTGAGAGCTCATTTTTTGTATAGTTTCTCGTCAAACTTCCCGGATTCCATTGATTCATTATGCAAGTTCACACGCTCTTTTTTTTTGCTTGATCGTCGCCCACGTACACAAATACTGTCTAGCATGCTTTCATCAGAATGGAAACAGCCACCTAGAAGACGTGTAGCATGTAAAAAGGTGTGGACGACGTTATGAAGAGTTCGGGTGTTACTTGTGCATTCAGCCTTTCAGGATAGGGTCCACGTGACTGCGCCATTGGTTGGCTGGAGACGTTGAAAGAAACTGCGACTATTCGATGGTAGTCGCGTTTGGGTCGTCAGTTTCTTTCCGGGTTTTCTTATGCTTACACCACATCATTCACGCAATAGACTAACGCCAGTCTAATCATCCACCTTTTTCTTACTTCACGTCTTGAGTTATAATTGAAATTTGTGGATGTACGTCAGTAATGCATCAGTTTCCCCTCCAAAATGTGGCCGGAATATCTTTGCTTTTGCTGATGTGCCACTAGCCATGCACGGCAGTGCCGCCACAGGAGGCTGCAGCTGTTCTCTCAGGTTATGCTACAGCTGAGCTCCCAGCTGAAGATACAATACACTCATGACGACATCTTAGTTCCTAAATGTTCGTTCTAGTGTCTCTCCAACTGAGCATGTCTTCCTTTTTTCCCGCCCTTGCTGACGGTCGCACATGAGGGGTTCTTTTTGCACGCCGCCATCATCATTGGCTTTAAAACCGCTTACTTGCCTTAAAGTCGTTATAAATGCAACAGTTTTATTCTCAGATGATTCAGAGAGGTGTGAGTAGAAAGCTAAGGATAAGAGGCGGCGGGAGATATAATGGATGGATTACCTTTTTCTAGAATGCAGGGTCAAAGTCAGGAGGTTCTTCAAAGAAATTTACAGACGAAGAACTAAAGATGTTTCACCCGGAGCCACGTATAAGATAGTAACTGACACTACAAAGCCTGTAGAGAAAACCCCAACGAATATATAAGCTACGGAAGATTGTGCTGCTGCTGTGGCTTTTGACGGTGGTTCAAATACTGTATCGGCGGTCGGCTTCCTGCTCCGCCCACTATGATAAGTGCACGGAAGCTTGAGAATGGCCTCTACGAAGACGAAAGAAGATTATTGGAACAGTATTCAAGAATTCTTCACACGGTCATGCCGCATTCAGCGTGGGAGTGCTAGTAGCGCCGTGCTATGGATGCTCGATCCAGATTGGGTGACATTCTGACCAATCAAAATACAGCTTCGTTTAGTCCGTAGCCGGTCTGTGACAACCGTCCAAACAACGTGGTATTCGGTTATTGGTTGCGGCCGGCCTCCGGACAACTGACGATCTATGGGATACCGTGTAGTATTCACGTTATTGAAGCACCAGGGGGCAGTGGTTCTCCAAAGGTAGGTGTTCACGACAATTTCTGTGGATGGGAAACAGAAAGAAAGCTCGTGAACGATGCCCGGTAAGCAAGGATGTACATCACCAATACTTATATACAGGTCAACCAAAATGGTAAACACTGGCCATGGACATGGAGACATATGAAACCCTGCGTTCGTCCTTAGAATGCTGAGATACATAACCACGCTTGGGCCTGGCTGATGCTATCGGCACAACATTGTAAACGGTCTCTTGTTGGTTTGTTCCATACAGATTGAACTTGCACGATTAATAACTCATTTGCGGCCGCACAGTTACACGTAGTGGCTGAATGACGCATTATGTATCACTGATTTGTATCAACAAAACTCGCATCACATGCATGTAGAGACTGTGTAAGTCAACGGGGATTATATTATAAATAACGCTACACCTTAGTCCAAGGGGAGTACAACTGGAACAAACAGTGGAAAACATTGTTGCATTGCACGTAAATCAAGATCATATTTGCTATTAAAATCTCACGAAGCCTTTCATGAGCTCCTCATAGGTCCCAAAAATGAAAAATCGGGAAGTTGTGGTAATAGTGATATTCCTTGGACCTTGTATGCGTGTTTAGGAAACACGACAGACATCAATCCTAAGAAAGTTCAAGGTTCCAGCGAGTATTGCCTATTTACCAATTCGGAATAGTCTACACATGTAAAGCGCCCCTGTGGAGGAAGTATCCTGTGGATTTATAGGGGTGCTGCGCTGGCTTGGCCACATGCTTCGTATGCCAGTCGACTGACTTCCTCGAAGGGTTCTTCTTGCAGAGCCGCTCTGTAACACCCTTTCGGCTCCTAGCTGCCATGCGAGGTCAATGGTTAGAGAGCGACTTTACTGACCGGAAGGTCCGTGGTTCGAACCCGATATCTACCTCTCGAGGACGCCAGTCTTGGGCAACCTGGCAGTATCCCAGCCCTCGTGCTTTCTTCTGTTGGCATGGCAGCTAGGCACCAAAAGCGTTAGAGGTCTGACCAGCATAGTCTCCTGGCCCTCTAGATTGGGGGTTGGAATATGTATGGCGTATTGTTCCATAAAAACTGAAATGCGCTCCCATTTCCTACTAAATGCCGCTGCCCTGTGGTCAGGTTTTTAAGCCGATTTTTTTGGTTTGTGGCCGCAATCCTCCTGGTATCTAGGTTTAGGTGCCCTGGCAGTAACCCAGCCCGCGTACAACCGTGATACAATTAACAACACTCATGCCCCATCAGCCATCGCATGGTGTCGCCAGCCGGGTCGCCTCCCGCGCTACATACAGCAGGGTTGGTAAGAGAAAACATGCTACTACTGATACTCTCCTTACACTTTCACGCTTTCCCTCTCCTACCCTACCCCGCTCACATTTGAATAATCTCCCCGCAGGCCCCAACACCGGGACTGATTGTTTCGCTTACCGTGCGTCACACTCAGCTGCAAGTTATGTACGTCCAACTTCAGTAACAGCCCTAAGCACTTCGAAGTCTGATTTCAAGCCCCGAAAGCCGATCTATTAAGCTGACTTTAATGTTTGCACGCTGAAGCAAGCAGAACAATAGGTGGCTGTTGCTCGTGCGCTGGATTCTCTCTGCATTGATGTATGCTGTCTCAAAATCAAGGATACAGGACGCAATTACTGTGGTTGAATTGAATCCCCCCTCACTCTTCCGGGTTCCGGCTGCGCAGCTCTGGTGATACAGGGACCGCTGCAGCTAGATTTGTTGGTTTGTGTGTTAGGTTGAGTGACTGAGCGGAAGCATCTCTACTTGATTGAATGCTCGTCGATGGTCACCTCTGCGCGTTTTGAAACGCCCGTGAAAGAATCTAAGGAATGTGAGGTCCACCTCACCCCGTTTTTTGTACGACGGATATCGGAGATAGCCTACCTCAGATGTGTGCCGATTACAGACGTTTTTTACAGTACCGATCCCCGGGACCTGGGAATCGTTTTGCAATGTGGTGTCAACCAACGAACCACCCTCGAATCCAAACCATTCACATCACCGTCAGTTCTCGGTGGTTAGGATAGGTCACTGCCTGCTGCTCCTTCTGCAACACCAATATAAACTCTGATCATGCTCTTGTCCGCCACTGTTTTTCATTGCGCTTTTAAGGTCTACACAGACCTCGCTTGGTCACTGAGAATTTACTGATAATAATAATAATAAATCGTTCATCTGTAACACCCTTTCGGTCCCTAGCTCCCATGCTTGAGGGCTGGAATACTGCCAGGTTCTCCAAGCCTAGACAGGGGAAGTCGAAAGGCAGAGGTCGGATCCAAACCGCTAACTTTTCGGTCGGTAAATTCGCGCTCTAACCACCGAACCATCTCGCCCCACGTATCTTCATATCGGTTTCGGGACGCATCGGTGTCTTACGTCTCGATGGACGCCACTCGGTTTATCGCACTGCTAAAGATGCTTTGGTTTTATGGTGCCGAATGCCCTCAAGATAACGGTCGACATAAGTCGGGTTTGTCCGTCTGCCCACATATATAGATCTTTCAGATAGCGTGCGTCTATCGCTTTAAAATTTCTCTGCAACACACGCACGTGCTTCTGGATTACGGTTGATACATAGCATATCCCTGCACCTATATAGACTTGCAGCAACTGGAGGGAGTGCAGGGGACTCTATCTGGCCAACGATTTACGCAATGTAGGATGTGGATATATGTTGGAGCCCATGAATCCTTCGCCGCGTTTTTCTCGCTAAGTTAGGGTGATCCGATTACTTCCTGACGAACGATACGAGAGGAACTAGTCCGGGCAGAGCCTGACGTGATGCTGCGCGGTGACGATAGGCAAAGAAGGCATCATTTCGCATAGTTCTTTCAGGCTCTGCGACTCTCAGGTTGTCATACAGGGTGGTTAGTATTTGTTTTTGTTTTCTGCCGTCGCGGTCGAAGACTTTTCGAGGAGCAGAGACAAGCCCTTCATCTTGAGTGCCGGTGGAAATTCTTTCACGGTCCTACAAGTTATGAAAACCTGTGGATTGCAGGTTTTGTTTATCGAACGCGCACAAGAGGACAAACTCAGAGACCGTCTACGCTCAGTATGAAGTATCCAGGAGCCAGTATAGCGTCTTGATGGAAAATAATCTAGGTAATTGAGTGCACACGGGCAGAAAACTCGAGATTGACCCCTAAGAAACTTGCATTGTTAGCGAGTGCCCAAGAACTATAACATACATCTGGAGAAGTCCGACATGTGTAACATTGACATTCCGTGTTAGTACTCAGCCGTGCATACCAGCGGAAATGCCTGTATCCTGTTGATATACCTAGGCAGGTCTCGTACTCGAAGCTGGATAGTGTAAACATTGCGGAGAAACTTACCACTCTCCTTGTCAGACTATGTGAACTCCGACTCTGCATTCACACTTATAACTAAGCCGTTGTCCTTCAACGGCGTCAGGGCGCCTACCTATGGTGACTTGGAAATGACCTGGTTCGCACTTGGATTTCCGGTGGCTAAGTCTAGCCATCCACGGTAGCTCTTGTGTGCTTCCAGTACAAAGCACCCAAACCGGAGGATTGTCAAATTATGGATTTCATCTTCCAGAGACTACATATGAAGACTGTCGGTGTTGGGGCGGAAAGATAGTGGGCACCACCAAAATGCTCTAACATCTGTTTGCTGATATGCTTTCGCTGATTTTCCTTACCCACACTTTTCCATTCTGACTTATGTACTTTCTGCTTACCATGCACAACAAAAGTGATTGAACCGCGGGTGATTCACCGTGTAGGCCTGTAAGGAGACTGGGTCAGCTTTCGTTCGGAGAGTATTTTAGTTGTATGCACTACTGATGTCTGGATAGTCCAGTGGTTAAGGTGCAGGTTACTAACTACGAGGTCTATCGTGGATCCATCTGTCTATTGTTCACCTATTTTGCATTTGGTCGCACGTCAGCTATGCGCAGAAAAGGCTCCACAGCTGAGTGCTTTTCTGTCGTATCTTCGGGTTTGTACCTGATGGTTATGACGATGTTTACGGAGCCGGCTTGCTCCTTGGGAGTCAGCCACAACAAACTACGTCAAATATATGGTTGATAGTATACCGTATTCCTCGTGTTGTTTCACTTGTGTTAGTCCGAGGAATATCTATCAGAAATTGAGGGTGGTCTTCTCGTTTGGGTTTTGGATGGAGACTCCGATTACTGTAAAACGCTGTGCATTTCAGAACTGGGTCCGATTTTGAACGCTTGTTCCAGACGTGAACATTTATTGTCTCCACCCTTAGATAGTTGTCATGCCTTCCTTATTTGTTATGATGACATTGCTTGCTGACACTTTTGTTGCGAGAGTCGAGTAGTTCCAGGACGGGATTAGAAAGCAGACGGAATAGAAAGAGGTAATGTACGCTTTAATCGTCTAATAACTGTAGTACATCAGCTGAAAGTAGAGTGAGAATCACGAGTTAATGGGTCATGCAAAGGTATGGGTTATGTGGTTATGATAGTTGCTGAAAGCAATGTCGCTATTCTAGAATCTGTCAGAGGGTGAAGATATGATCGATGCAACCTCTTGCAGGACGGAACCCAGTTTGGTTTTCACGATTCCCTCTCCCTGTGTTCGATCATCCTTTGAAGGATAAGACCAGAGAGAACCTTCGACGCCACAGCTAACAGGCTGATGCTACGGTGGTTTCGACACAGCGTCCGCGTACCCTTTTTGAAGATAGGGATAACTGTTGACATGCCACACTCTGCAGGCACCTTCTCTTCGTTCTATATAGCACTAATAAGCCTTGTCAGATGAGCCACTAGAGATACTCTGCCTTCTTTGAAGAGGGGTGGATGGAGGTCGTCCGGTCCCGGTGCATTCTCACGTTTTAGTGCGACCTACTTGAGCATTCAAATCACCTGCAAGGATAACTATGTCAGTGATTTTAGCCTGACGAGTGAGCCCGGATAGTTCTCAATGGAAAGCATCCTTCTCAGTATCAGAACTGCAGTCCGTTGGGGAATAAGCCGACACTACAAACAGGTAGTTTTTCGAGAAATACACTCATTTGCAAATCAATTTGGTTTTCACGGGAGACTCAATTGAATCTCTCGTTTATGATGTCCTCCAGCTG